AATTAATATTGTAAGGAGCGAAGTGAAAGAAAATTTTAAACAAGTTGCTTCTGTAATAAATTTGAGAAATTTAAGTACTTTGGAAAAAAATTAAATATCATTCTAAGTGTTTTTGATTCCTATAATGTTGATGAAAATTCATTATATCATTTTACTTTCGTAGAATTTGGAGTTAAATTTATTTGAGATGCAAAGTGAGACTATTCTTAAAATTTTTCTATTCTATTCTATGAGACTATTCTTCAAATTTTAAAGAATATTCTTAAACTTTTTATGAAGGAGCTTTATAAATATGCAAAGGATTTAGCCATTTCTTAGCCTTGATTTAAATTGTAAAACATTGATAAATTCAAGATTCTAGATTATTTTGTAATCAGCTGATTAGAATGTATGTTTTATCACCTATAATTTACATAGTATTTTTTAATATTTCCAGTGCACAGAAAGCATAAAGTTTGTGTATTTGAGAACATAAAATATTTTTCACTGGCTATTTAATATTAACTTTTTGATTATCTAATTTTAGGTGATCAGATAAAAGTGTGCCATTTTTATATATAATTATTCATAATGCATAAATAATGAGCACTTAATTTTTTTAAAATTACTATTGTGATATTTCCTTTAGATTTTTCAACAAACTTGCGCACTTACTAAAGTGTAATAGTTTTTTCCTTTTGCATTTTTATTTTAATATGGCTAAGAAGGAGATTCGAAATGCGAATAAATTATATGCTGAGTTTCATATGTTTTTTGAATGAAGCATTCTTCAAGGAGCATTATTGAAATGTGAATTTCATTTTTGATTTTGTATAATTTGATTGCTATGTATAAGCACTTGAATGTACAGTAATTAGTATCATTTATAAAGTTTAGTTTATATGTTCTGTCAATATTATGTTATTGTTAAATCTTTGTTTTATTTCGTCTACTATAGACACTATTTTTTATTATACTGTAGCTTTATATGATTTATGAAGTTTCATGTAAAATTACTTCTGAGTGAAGATGTGAACAGATTTGAGCAGGCAAGACACTGAAAATTTTACCATTATATCGCTTTGTTAAACAGTTTGTCACAGTGTAGGTAAAGGAATAGAATACTGGTTTCGCAAACAGAAATGGCATGGAAAAAGCATTATGGAAAAATATCTATGAAAATTCTAATTTTAAGCACTTATTGAAAATTCCAGAGATAAGAGCTTTAACTTGTTCAATGAAGTTGCCACTGGTATTAATCCTAACCTCTAGATGACTGTGAGAACAGGCACATTTTATAATCTTAGGAGACAAATTTTAAAATGCATAGAATGTTTTCAGCAAACATTTATTATTACAGGCAATTTTATTAGTAATGGTTTTAACTGCATTGCATATTTAGTGAAGGATTGCAGTTTTGTGAATCTGTAGGTCACTAACAGAGGTAGCATGATTAAAAAAAAAGTTATCCTCAAGCTGGTTCTGAATGTGTGTGTTGATGCAGAGTATTCTTGGAACATGTATCATTTTCTTGCTACCTAGATATTGGCCAGAATGGTCTAGACATCAAGAAATCTAATGTATTGAAATGGAGAGATTGTTGTCAATGAATTGCTGTGCATGATGAATTGAATCACAGCTATAGCTGCTTTAAACATGTAAAATGCAATGTAGTAAAAAAATTACACTTAGGAATTACCCAAGTTTAAAAAAAAGTTGTTTAAAGAAAGTTAGAAAGGGAGAATATATATATATTGTTACGAAATGTACAGGTGCGATGAGATAGCTTCCCCACGAAGCAGTTTTAGGGTTGCCATAAAATAGCAAGGAAGGTAAGGTTGCCACATTTGGTGATAAATTGCCCATTTGGCGAAGAAATGGCGATATACCATGGACGGATGGAGAACCTTCTGGAACGAATTCTTACCGGTTTAGCCCGGAATGTTCTCGAACACAAGCCGAAAGCTATATAAACCCTGCTGGTCCGCAGTCAGTGTGTGTGTGCCCGCCAAGCCAGCTGATAGAGAGTGTACCTCGTCGAGAGGACGAGAGTGTGTGCCTCCCATAGAGTGCGAGATAGTCAGTAACGAGTTGGTGTCTCGTCTAGTCACACCTTGCAGAGTCGATCGAATTGACAGCAAGGCAGCGAGTGCCGAGTGGGTCATTGAGTTCATCGGAAAGTCTCGTAGTGTATCGCGGTTAGTGCATCGTCGAGAGAGCGTATTGAGCTCCGGAACGACTGAACTGAAGAGTCGGGAGCTGTGCTCTGTGTGTCATCGAATGCATCCTGAGTTATAGCGTGGAGAGTCTCGAGAGTACGTGGAGTTCCGAGCACGACCAAGCAGAATCGGGAGCTGTACTCTAGTGCCTTGCCACAAAGCTGTCTCCACCGTGATAGCCTGATAACCTGGAGGCTGTGTCGCTGATAGTGTCAGCGTGTTTATAATAGTTCATTGACGACTGTAAAAACATGTTTTGGAGCTGTCTTGACAATACTGGCCAATAAAATGTGTTTCAATACTTCATCAAGTGTCGTCATTATTCACTCCAAATCCTCACAAACTCTGTACGAACATGAAGGTAGAAAATGACGTAACAACTGGTGTCAGAAGGAGAAGAAAATAACGTAACAATAAAGGGAAGCTAAAGAAAATTAATTTATTTCTGTAGTGATGTAGTTGTTGAAATACTTAAAATACAACGGGGGAAAATGAGTAAATTTTTTCTTAGAAAGGGAAAAGAAGCTAATATTACAAAAGTACAAGGGAGTTCGCTTAATATATAAATATAAGCTGTTATACAATTTTAAAAAAATGAATTCAAATTGCCAATTTATGCAAGCAACAAGTGGTCAAACATTATTTTTGAATATAAATTAAAGCTGTAAATCAATGCATGTAATTATAAACTATACTTAGTTTGGAAAAGAAGCTAATATTGCAAAAATAGGAGGGTTTTTTTTAATATATAAATATAAGCTGTTACACAATTTTCATAAAAAAATTATTTCGAACTGCTGACGTATGAATGAAGCAAATGGTCAAACATTTTTAAGTATAAATTAAAATTGTTAATCAATACATGTAATTCTAAATTATGTTCACTTTGAGAAACAAGCAAAATTTGTTTAGAGTATGTACTGATTTTAGGTGTACCTGGGAGGTATTTTCCACTAAGGGCCTATTTTCATTATAATGCGGTGTTTGTAAAAGTTAATATTCCATTATTCGATAGTTAATTCAGCTACAAAATCATAAGTTTGTAAATTTCTTTAGTTTAGAGAAAAGAGGGAGCAAAAAAGAGAAAAAGTTTCTTTTGTATTCCTTAGTCTCTTATCTGAAAATTAGAAAACCCTCTAAAGGAAAGGTATCATAAGAGTAGTACTTTGTAATAACAACTGAAAGGGGATGGAAATGTATTCCTATTACCCGTCTTTTAAAGTAAAACCCTTCCAAACTTTACCATCTTTTAAAATCGAAAATTTCACTTCATAGTATATGTGTAATTCTTAGGACTTTCTTATTTTTACATAACTTCCAGGTAATTTGTTTAGCATAAGAACTTCAACAATAAGTTCTGTGGCTAAATTGAATAAATTTCTAAAATTTGTTAACTTATATATGTATATATATTCGTCTAAATATTTCTTAAATCTGAGGAAATGACTATTAAAGGGTACTTAGATTTTCTACAACTTTAAAAATCTTATTTCTCTGTTTATGTTTTTTGACAAGAACATGTTTCTCGTGTGAATTATTAGATATTTTGGAACTTGGTAATTAAACTTTCTTATATTATTCTTCTGTTTTGAAGCTTTTAATTTTAGGATAGTGAATTTAGTGTATTTAGTTATTGTATAATGTCAACATATTTTTCACTAACATGAGGAACTAACTGGAACATGAGGTGTTATGCATTTATCTGAATTTAATTTAGTTTGTTGTAATGTTAATCTTACCTTTTAAATCTTACGTTAAATTCAACTTTGCCTTTCTGTAGAGAGGGAGGACTAGTTAGATTTTTTTTTTATGTATTACTTATTTTTTAAACCACTCTTTAAGCTTTATTGAGTTTCTCCAGTGGGCATGTTCAAGAAAGAATGCCAGTTATATTTTCCAGAATGCTATTATTAAACTGGCATAAATTTCTTAATATTTTTAGGAATGGAGAATGTTTATAATACTGAAGTCGGTGTAGAATAAATGGAAATAATATATCTAATTCATATGCTCCTTGAAAATATTGAAAATTATTTTAGAAATGGGGTAAAATGGTTCAGGAAAGTTCTTGAATTTTTATCACATTTGCAATACAAGAAAATCATTTGAATTGAAAAATCTGTAGTTTGCACCTTTTTTTTTTTTTTTTTTTTTTTTGTTTGTTTGTTTGCTTAGATGGAAATTAAAATTTAAATAAAAATATAACAAAAGACAAAGAAAACCATATTTCTTGTATATTTCATTTATATATGCGTGTCTTTAATGTAACGCAGTTGGGTAGTGAGAATTATGTTGATTTCCTATATGTGAGAAAATACTTCCATTTAACCTCTATGAAATTGTTTGTGTGTGGTTTTCCTTATGTGTAATTTAAACAGGAACACAACATTTCTCTCATAAACTGCATAAAGGCATAATTTTTCTTAAAAGAGATAGTCTGCAAGAGCTTTATCTGGTTAAGTCCTGTTTGGTTTGCCACAGTTGCAGTTATTGTCATTATTTATTACATAATTTGAGCCTGAATCTTATATAATGCTATATAACATTAAAATATATATTAATTATGTTAACTTTTATTGCTAGGCTTTTGTTATAAAAAAAAGTTGGATTATTAAAATTGCAGATTTTTATTCTTGCATTTCAAATTTAATAAAGCTGTGCATTGAAAATGTTCATTAACAATTCAAAAGTATATATTCCAGAGTACTTGAATTTGTCAAAATAAATATTTTAATAAATTTTTGAATTTATAATATTGCATGTATGTATTAATTTTATCTTTGATTTTGAAATTTGTTTTAGGTGCACATGCTCGTTCTGGCAGAGTTTTGCTTTTAATGGCACTCCCCGGGCATCTGATATTTGCATATTTAATAAGATTATTAAATGGTGGCAAGACAACTCTGACACCTTTGTTTCTTTTGGTATATCTGACTGTTGCCTTAATACAGGTAAGGTTACTTTTGATTTATGCGATTTTTTTTTAATATTTAAAATAAATCTAAACTTTGCTATAAAATTAAAAGTGAGAAATATTATTGTTATATGGTGACATTTCCAGTTTAAATTTAATCATGGAACCTTTCTGTGTTTTATATAATATAACAAGATAGTTTTAAATAATTATTCTGTAGTTGGGGAGGGAGGGAATAAACAGATCGGACAAAAATTTCTTGGTTCTAATGAATTACCTTTTAAATTCATTGAAAGTTAGTTCTTTCAAAGATAGGCAAATATATTTTGTTCCCTTTCATGTTCAGTAAATAAATGCAACTATCCTATGTGTATACTTTAGAAGAAGAAAATTGGCATTTTATATTTAATTGAATGATGTTACAAGACCTAAATATGCTGTTTATTTAAAAGGAAAAAAAAACTTGCACATTAGAAGGTTTGGGAAGTAGGATTAGTGAAGCATGCTGGAGAAAGTCTTACATAATATGAAGTGCAATTGCTTTCAGGAATTTCTCGACGTACTACTTTATAAAGATTGATAAACTTTAATGCTTTGTGTTATCTTGTAAATCGTTTTGCATGGTGCACTGCAGATTATGATTGATTATTTCAGGAAATTGCCTTGTAAAATATTGTGTGCAAATAGTTTAAAAGTAATCTGCATTCATTCAAAGATTTATCTTGGATTACTAGATTACTGTTTTTTTGCTTCTCCTGAGAACTTCTTTTAAAATTAATTTTATTTGCATTAGATGCAAATTGAAATTATGTTGGCTTTCATTTTTTATTTCTAAATTGTTATAACATTTAGGAGGATATATTTGTAGTAGTTTCACCTTTTTATCACCAGCGCTCAGAACTGTGTATAGAAAATTCTAAAGATATGCTCATTTAAAAAAAAATTTCTACATTGCTGTTGAACTGAATTTTATGGTTTAAGTGCAAAGAACATGATATTTAATAAGTAAAGGTAACACACAAAATGCTAAAAAAGGAACGCCCCTGTAGAAGTAATTTAAAATCTTAAAAACCTTTCAGATTTTATTATTATTTTTTTTAGTATAAAGAATTATCTTATTCATTTTTTATTGGCAGTGATTTCAGAAAAATATTTGATCTAAGCGCAGAACTAGTAATTTTTTATTGTATTAAAAGCATTCAGAGTTTAAACAGCATTAAGATAAAATTAGGACTGAAAAACTAAAAATGACCATTGAATCTTTCATGCTTTAATATATTTTACTTTGATTTCTAAATAGCCAAATTGTGTAAGCAATTTAGAATATTATTTATGCTACATTAAATTCTCATTGTAGAATTTTAATTATTGATCTCTAGAATTGTTCATTAATTTTGAAAATAAATAAAGTTTGAAATCATTATATTTGCACTATTAATAGACAAATTAATTTTTATCATATTGATTCTAATATTAATTTTACTTAACTGGTAGAAAATATGTCATAGGACCATGTATACTATCTTGTACTATGTTAATTGTGTTATAGGATGGATTAATAATGAAATTGTTTTATATGAGCACTGTTATATGGGAGTTGCTTATCTCCAGTAATTTAAATTTATTCTTCTGAATAAATATATTATTGAATTCTGTCAAATCTTCAAGGGGAGGTTCTAGCTTATTACTAATCCACGGAATGCATGAATAGCTAAAATTGATAAAGTTTGAACACAACAATAAAACATTTTATTTAAAGATAAGCAGTTGGTGCTTCTTTCATTACAGGACAGTTTCTTTCCATAGTGATCAAAATATTAATCAAACATTATATGCATGTAGTGCCATCTATGCATAAAATTGTCTACATACATGATTATACATCACTCCCATTGTTATTTAAATTTTTATATATATAAAAAAGTCGTCTCTAGTGCTATCAGATTATGCACTGTATATCATTTGACTTCCATTCTAATTTTTAGAAAGAATTTGCATCAAATTCACATTACCATCATAAACAGGATAGAAAATCTTTAATGTTGAATTAATTGACTTTTTTGAAGATTAAATTAGGCTACAACCATTTACACAGCAACATGAAATTCATATGGAGGCATGTTAAGCTCATTGCGATAACATTATAAACTGCCATAACCCAGATGAAATTCAGTGAAATGAGACTAGTTGTTAATCGTAGTGAACAGTATGAGAAACAAAAGAATCCTTATGATTAGTATAGTATACAGTGTGTTAAATGCTAAATACAGCTTAATTAGCATTAATATGATATTAGGAAATCAGCTGCGACATCTTTTAAATTATCTTGTGATACATTTTCGCCTTGATGCGTTTTTATTCAGCACCTTTATTATCTGTACCTTTTATTGCATTTTTGCAAAGCTTCTAGATGAGTATACAAAACATTTCATTGCAATAACAATAGGGAAATTAATTTAAACTTGGATGTCTTCAGTTTTTTATTATATTTCTATTCCATCAGTTAATTTTCATTACTAATGCAATATCCGTAATGGAAAATTGTACTCAAAATATGAATTTTAATGCTACATTGCATAAATTTTTATTTTATCTTAAAAGATATATCTTAAAAGCTTTAGACTGTAGAAAATGTTTAAAAACCAAATTTTTTGTTTTACTGTGCTTAATAAGGTGTATCGCTTGTTATTATTCGGTAACTCGCTCCACTTAAGAACTACTAACAAGAAAATGGATCTGTAAATTTTCGTGTACCTAAAATTCCAGCAATAACTTACTGTTCAGAATTTGTGTTAGTGGTAATTTCAAGAATAATTTAAACTTTAATCAAATCTGAACACACAACAATGTTTTAAGTGTACTGCACTTAAGAAACATTCATTGCATTCAGACATTTTTTAGTTTTTAAGCGCAGTGTATTTAAAAACTGGCTAAATGCATAATGTTGCAAAACAGCACAGGATTTTTGTATATCCAGAAAGTTAGTCATTTTTCTATTTTTATTATACATATTTAATAAAATGATTTTTAAAACAGCAAAAAATGCCAATCTTGTAAGCATATTAGAAATATAATATGCATAATTTGGTAACTTTCACTGTCACACCTTTAGCTACATTTCTGTGCAAATAAAGAGTCTTTTGATTCTAAGAACACATGTGAATGTTCATTAGATGCATAATATTTCTAACATAGGCACTTTATTAATTAAAAAAAAGGACTTTAAATTTAGAAAAGAATTTATGTGAAAAAATGTGTGTTTTTGTGGGTGTGTGTGAAATTTTTTTGTGAATCGCCTTTCTTGATATACAAACAACTAAAAAAATTATACAGTACAAAGTTCGTAATCTGGAATGATCTATAATCTGGACCTGAAAGCCGCAAACTTTTTTTAAAATTTTTTTTATACGCGTAATGCATGTTTAATGTATAACAGACAGTGTAAGCTAGGCTAAAATTATCTTTACTGATTCTGAGACATTTCAGTTAATGTTGCAGATTGCGTTGTTCCTTAATCTTCTAATTGTATCTGGCTTATTATTGTTTCCAGGCTGTTAGAGCAATTTTATAAAAATTAAGCTTGAACTTTCGATTATGTCAAAAAGAGTTTCCAATTCTGGAGCTGCCAAAGGATCTACAAAGCGAAAGCATGCTTCTATGTCCATCAAACAAAAAGTGGAATTGCTGCAAAAAATGGATAAAGGCATATACGTCTCAAAATCATGCGAGGAGTATGACATTCGAAAGTCAACTGTATGTGACATAAGCCAAAAAAAAAAAGAAAAGAAAAGAAAAGAAAAGAAAGAAAGAACTTTTTAAATTTTTTCTGGATTCCTACACCCCACTTGCAATGAATAACAGAAAAAGTGTTTGTTATGCTAAAAGTGACGATCATGGCATGATTGAATGAGTCAGAACAGCGTCGCAGCGAGGGCGTGCCATTGACGGGTCCAATGCTATAATGGCTCAAGCCAAAATATTTCATTAAGAAATTAACTTAAACACTGAATGCACATATTCGACAGGTTGGTTAACCAAATTAAAAAATCGCCTGCAAATTGTTCAGCAGCTTCAGCTGATACTGAAGCTGCTGAACAATTTGCAGATGAATTCATTGAACTCGTTACTAGTGAACAATTATCTCCAGAACAAATTTACAATGCTGATGAAACTTGTCTTTTCTAACAATATGTACCGCGAAATACCTTGGCAACCTCTACAGAAAAGGCTCCAACTGGTGTCAAAGATTCTAAAGCGAGGCTAAAATTTGAGTGTGCACAAATGCTGCAGGAACGCACAAGTGCAAACTTTTCGTAATGCAAAAAGATGCATGACCACGAGCATTTTAAGGAGTTTTCCTCGTTATATACCGCGCAAATAAAAGAGCATGGATGACACAAGCATTGATGAATGATTGGTTTGAAAAATCATTTTATATCCGAGGCTCGGCGACATTTGAATTCGGTTGGTTTACGTGATGACTCTAAAATAGTCCTGATTGTTGACAAATGTTTGGCGTATACTTCACTTAAAGTTTTAGTGAAAGGTAATGTATCCATATTATTCTTCTCTCCAAACTGTATGTCTATCCTATGGATATGGGAATAGTGCACGTGTTGAAATGCAAATGTAAAGTAGCATTTTAAAAATCTATGTTAAATTTCTTGAACAATGGCAAGACTATTCAAGACTTTTTGAAATTTTTTAGCATAAAATCTGCTGTGTGGAGCATCGCAAGATCGTGGGAGGATGTCTCCAGATACATTAAAAAATGTTTGGCATAATTTATGGCCATCATTTCATGGTGAGGACGATGAAGATGATAGCCGTGATGCGACGACAATTCCCAATCATCAATCAATTAACGGATGGCAAAATCTGTAGTATGGTTCTAAATCCAGAAAATACCGCTTCCGATAGTGAAGAAAGTGACAGAGAGGTTATTGAAAATGAAAAAAATTTCGATTGACAAGTTAGTCGGTGTTCTTGACACAGCAATTACAGGACTTGAACAGTGGAAATTTGCAACTGAACAAG